AGTACTTATTAGTTGACGATATCTTTGTATTTTCATTTGTTCTAGTCAAAGTTTGTCGATGGAAGCCATTTGTAAGCAAGAGATTATACAGGGACCATTTCAATCGTAAGCGTTGTAAATTCGCTATTTCATTTGGAGTTGATAGATGCTGATCAGTCACGTCACACGGTGCTATCAGGCTCTCATGATTCTTAAGAATTTCAGTAATTTTGATTTTACTTTGTTACTGTTGATACGTTCGTTTACTGTCACGCAACATTGACTTGGTTGATCGACGGTGACGTGACTGATGTATGTTATGGACCCCAATCCACGTGAGTTATGATTATATGTCATCGCTTATTAGACCAGCCTGCCCCAGCAATGGAGTGGAACCGAGTTTTGCGTCATCACCGCCGTTGTGTTCCCCCGTTGCGTCGCGTGGTTGTTGCGTCGAGCTGGTGCAAGATTGGTGTATTGGGCGATGACATTAAAGATAGCTAATAATTGAAAAGGCCAACGTCACATTTTTATGTGCGGCTAGAACTATTTGTTGAACTTTTGTAAACGTTTATCCATTGTAACTTAGTTATGAATGCAGTTAACCTTATAAATAAGTCGTTTACAACTTGATATGTATCTATACTTCTCTGAAATATTATGAGGTATATAATGGAAAATTAACTAAATTTAACTTCACAATGTAGATTTGTAAGTAATCTTAGTAACCACAGTAGTTTGTACGTGTAAATACATCTCTTATTTTTTTAATGAAACATTATTTTAAGTATATTTAAATTTGCCAGAAATTTAATACATTTCGTTGCTAAAACGTATACCATTAATAATTCTATTTATCTCTAATTATAATACAAAAATACCAAAACGCTACATTTAATGAAGACTGACGCCTAATAAAACATATCATTTGAGTATTTTCTTGTCATTAAAGCTTACAAATTTGTGGCAATTTCAAATAATTAACATCTATTTTTATATCGATCTACTTTCTATTTATTTCAGTAATACATTTGCGGTTTTCGCGTTTCGTTTTTTAAACTAATACTGGTATTTCTGAATCATTACAGGGTCCGTTATCTCAGTAATTAAGTAAATTGATGTAAGATATTTATCAAATGCGTTTGTTTCTCCTTCATTCATTTGTTTTAAACATTTCAATTATCTTATCTTGTTCCGCATTTTAAATATGATGAAAGCAAATACTTATGTTGTAGCCGCAATCTTTGTATACTGGTGACGAATGACTATTTTATGTTTGTACTCTACAATCCTTGTAGCATTTTAATGCTTACGTTTTTTAAATTATTTGAATGTTCTACAAAAACATTTTTAATGATTTAATTTTTTTCATTATTCAGTAATAAGGTACAAAAACTATTTTGAAAATAAGTATCGTGCCATAAGACTTATTCAAACATATATAATAGTTTTTATGGTCTTCATGTCAGGACATTTTTGGGTAAATCACAAATGGTTTCATGTTAACAAACGAACATCAATAACGTTTTAATATTAATTTAATTTATATTAAAAATGGCAGCATATTTTTTTTTCTATTTCGTCAATACTAAATTATGTATTAATTGTTTTTTATCTTTGTAATTAATTATAATATACACATACACAATATGGAGTAGAGATGTAGTAAATGTTAAGATGTTTTATTCACAATAGGGCAGAAGGCCTAAGAATATTGTAGACAGGACCTTACATTCAGTATTGAATTGTTTTATTACGTTAAAAAAATTAAGTAATTAGCGGAGATGAATGTTGTTTTACGGAGGGTCTCAAATTTATTATTTCATGTGCGTTCGAATGTTCTCAATTTTAAGTTTTTGTAAAGCTTTAATATTAATTTATATTTTTGTATCATCTTTTGCTTTCTAAATACTTATAACTTGATTATTCCTAATTTATAAAACTACTTTTCTTTAGGTTAAGTATATAGCTGTAAATATTATTCGAGAATTAAATGGGCAACTTTATGTGTTATGCTTTTAATTTATGTTATTGTAAAATTCGGAAGTTTGATAATATGTACACTGTCAACATGCAATGATCAAGTAGGATTGCAATAAAGTTATTGAAATCCAATTAAATTATTTTTTTATCACGATTTTCATATTAAAAAGACTAGTGTTCCAAATTCTTTCTCCCCTTATATTCCATACAGCCTATGTAATTTATCTTATTGTTGCTGGCAGATAATAGTAAACACAGTGGTGGAAAAATCAGTAACAACATTCGACAGCTAACTAATAGTGCGCTCCAATCTTTGGCAGCTCAAACAATACTGCCAGTTTACTTAGTTACGTTAGCGCATATATACAGACATATCTGTACAACAGTGGGTCTGAGTTGGAGTGATAATTTTATAGTTACCACGATAACGCATGGCTTTTTCTAGTAAATAGGTCAATGAATTTGGGTCATCTGCCTAGTCGGAATTAAATGTTAACGATACCTGCCATTTCTTTTTATCTCAATAGGGTTTCAAAATGCTAGAGTATTCAAAGCATAAGAACTCTCATAAACAGAACAATAATTTATTGTTTATTTATTATTAGTATACCTATTTAAATTTAGTATACCCCATCAAACGTATTGAAAATCATAAAGTAGTTATATGATATACCGCTATAAATTTTTTGTAAAATAGGTCAAGAGAGGCGGAAATTAGTTCACCAGTTTTAGGTCACTACACAACCAAAGGTTACCTATTATCGCGCAAGCAACAAGTTGGGATCATTTTCATATTTAAAATGCGTATACGTATAATGTACAGGTATCATTTCACTAGAAACCGAGAACCTATATGAGACTATAAATATTCGTTGTATTATAATTACAAAGTGTAGTTATAATTTTTTATAGTCCTTAGCGGACGTCCATGAACTCATCAGCGCAGAATTTAAAAAAATGTAGCCTAAAATATTCCAGCGTTCACCAGCTGTATGCCTGTCAAAATTGGGTTTTCGCTATCAGTTGTGCTAATTATCATGAGAACATAATATGATTTTTTTATATTACATAAATACATTCCAATTTTATTTATATGTATAGATGTGGTATCCTACGTTGCTATTATTTAAATATGGAATGTATCCTATAAAGAAAAAGTTCCTTTTTTAATTTTTTTCGTCTTGATTAACTTTATTTAATTTTACAACTTAACAATTTTTTCTCTTAAGTTCCAGAAACATTTAATTTTATCTCTGTAATGCATTTCCCACGAACCAAATAATATAATACGCCCGTATAAATAATCGATACATTGCGCGCGCAGATCAGTCCACATCTAAGCCCACTCAAAGACTTGAAACTGAACAACTGAAAACATCGTCAGCTGGCTGAAATAAAAAGGTACGTAGTACTTTTAATCTTTCTCATTTTAATATTATGAAAACGATACGTAATTTTAAAAAAGATGTAAAGAATCATAAAGGGTAAAATTACGCATTTATATTTTAGACTCTTGGAAGCAATGCTATTTGGATACTTAATTTACTTTGACCTTTTTAGATATTTAAAACTGTCCTACTCCACCATTTTATCTGGTTCAAATTCAATAAAATTAGATTTTGATGACCTAGCTTTATGAGTTATTGATAAAAGTGCATATGCAGACGACAATGTATTTCCGACCAGCCAACATGAACCATTGATTGTGTGCCTGTGCATTTCTCATACGATATTATATTTATTTCTTGTGATTTTATATTTATTATGCAAATATAAGCAGCCAGGCAGGATTTTAAATTTATAAAACAATTTTCCTTTTATTTCTAACCCAATTCGGTCTGAAATAAACAAAGAAA